TTTCCAACATCAATTAAATCAGATTTGCTATCTAATTTCTTGACTAATTTCTTAAACTAATTTGCTTATCTACCCTTACTAAACTAGCAAACAGCTTTGAGGCATATATCCAACCCAAACACTGACATGCGTCCCTTAGGCACAAACTACTTTTAAAAGGAGTCATTGTTTAAAGTTAAATTTCTCAGCACATGTATGTGTTTATTCCCTAGAATAAATTAATACACGTAAAAAAAAAAATCACTCGACAATTATTTTTAAAAAGTTAAATCCAGAGTCACATGTTCAAAAATTAAAATCAGTTATTTGTAAAGGACAGTCATATAAAAGTGACTAGTTCGATCTGTTTTATGCTAGGATGATGAGGCTTTCTTTAGTTTTTTTTATAAACACTTGTAAGTTCATGTTCTGGAAGCAAAAACCAACTAATGAAAATGTAAGTGACCCTGAAACAACTTTGAGAATATTAAGCATGCTTGAAAAGAGGTTTATAATGGAAATGCTCCAACAGTTTTAAGATCTGCTAGGTCATCTTGTCATCAGATAAAATGCATATCTATATTTAAAACCAGAGGCTTATTATAAAAGCCAACAAATCATATTCATGTCAGTAGAATGACAGCTCATTTCATCTGCATTATTTACAATAGCTTGCACTGAAAACCAGTCATGAGTTGCCTTCTGACATGATTAATTGACCAGTCTCTCTAAATCAATCTGCATGTTGGAAATTTCTCTGCAGCCACTAGGTGTACTTTCAGGGTTTGTCCAAATTCAAGTGGAGGTCTAACTTAGGTCCGAGTTTACTAACATATATTACCTAATTCCAACCTAAGCCACCCCCTTTTCCTCCCCCCCGTCCCTACACACACACAATCTAGATCAGCGGTTCCCAAACTTTTCCAGATGGGGATCCATTTTGACAATTCAAGAAGACTTGGTGACCCAAGGCAATTCAAAAATAGGAGTATGAGGGGAGGCAGAGCCACCTGGGGATTCACTTGGTGACTCTCTTGAAATGTAATGACCCATATTTGGGTCGCAACCCATAGATTGGGAAACCCTGGTCAAGATGCAAGCTAATACCTTTCAACCTCAACATAAAAGGTTGATCTCAAATGAAAACTGAAAGGTTCTAACTTTAATCTCAACTGATAATGACTCCAGAGCTACACTATCACTGCAGCCATCATAAATGTTGACTAATATTTTACAGGTATAAATTATTATGTTGTCCTGTTATGAGAAAAAGTTTTAACAAAAAACTGTTTTGCAGTATCTCTATTAAAACCATTAGTGTTGTCCTGACTAAAGAAAATTCTTTGAAAGGTGTTAAAACCTGTGACACTAGACCTCAACAAGTTTTTAAACCCTGAATAAAATTCATTCGTTTAGGAGGGTTTAAAAAACACACACACACACCCACACACACCATCCCAAGTTCATCTAGATACTCAGTGGACAAGGAAATTCTACCCAAATCCCTTGATTTCAATCATCCTATTCTCCATTAATGGTATAGAAATTCCAACTTCTAGTAGTCAGATTAACAGTAGTTTGAGGTTGCTAAAGCTGAAATTAATTTCTCTAACTAAGGTCAACTGCAGAATAGGGATGTAAAATCCCATTTAATTGGTTCATTATTTAAATGTAGTATTTAACCAGTTAGCGGATTAAAAGGGGGAGGGACAGTCTGAGCTGGAGCAGCTCTCTGCCCACGGTAGGTCCCACAGGGCTGCAGCAGCCACCTACCCGTGATGGGGTTGGGTCCTGCTCCAGCTCCCACCAGTTAACCTTTCGCATTTCTACTGCGGAACATCTCAAAATAATCCAGCCAGGTAACTAATGTTAAAAGTTCATTACTCTACAATATATTTAGTCTAAACCTTTCAGTATAGGGGCACTTATGTGTTTGAAAAGTGCTTAGCACAAAAGGGCTCAGATCCAGGCTGGGCCCCAGAGACTACCTCTAAGACAATATGCACACAGGACTCAAATTCAGTGAAATCGACATTTCTGTTCAAAAGAGCTGAAGAGAATTTATAGCATTTACACAATGGGTGAGGCTTTCAGTTACCTGAGCCTGGGGGTGGGGTGAAACCAGATGACACCCTTTGCCCAGGAAGCTGGACAAAGGAGGAGGAGGAGCAGCCTGCAAGGCTGGCACGGTTGCTGAGTGTGTGACTTAGTCTTAACTGGTTTAGGATACAGGGAGCGGGCAAGGCCTAGGCTCTGAGCCCTCCTCTCCCCAAGACAGACTGTGCTGACTGCTTCTGGTTTCTGTGCTAACAAGTCTGTTCTACACTGGATTAAAACTTTCTACCTGCTGGCTCAGAGTCTCATCTGGCTGCAGATGGGGGTGCAGGTGGCTCCCCATATCCAAGTGACACTCACCAAGAAGCATTATGCTGCAACTTCTACTTTTCGGTCATCAGAAGCTCTGGTTGCCCAGGATTACAAATGTCTGTCAAACAACAAAGGCTTTCACCAGCCTTTTCTTTGTTGTTGTTAGTAACGTTACAATATTGATTACAGTGTGTATTTACTATCTTGGTACACACACTTATAGATATACATATCAGAAATACATTGATTGCAAAGCCCAAAGCAACAGCCACCTATATTTGTTTCCTAACCAACTCTGCAGAGACGATAGCTCTGTAGTCAGCTTCCTTTGTACAGCTGGGACTGGTTAACAGAAAACTGTATAAAACCCAGAAAGTGTAAGGAATCCCTGCTTTCCTTGTGTTTTGTGGAAGTTGCTCCAACAAACGCCACGTATTCTAACAGCCATAGCTTTAGACGCATTTTCTCCAGTGTAAAAGTAATATGCACATTTGAATTCTGACTGCTATTCGACTGCTCTGCTTTAATCGCTAACATACATAACTGTATGTTAATTATTCTGCACATATAAAACCAATGCTATGCATTTCCTCAGTAACTCATGCAAACAGAATTGCTTCAGCCATTTAGTTCCAAAGGATAACTGTCTTATACCAACCAAAGGTCTCAATTGTGGGTCAAGATTTTGCAGCCATATTAGCTAAACAGAGTCTGGGTGGGTTTGTGCTGTCAACTGAGAGCTTTGCAGCATTTGGTGTTGCTTAGAAATGGTGATGGCACGTTAGCATGTGCACACTTCACATTAGTACTGAACCAATTCGCATTAAGGGGGGGAGGCATCATTTGAAAACAGAACAAAGGTTCAAGTTGCCATGGCACTTTCTCATGAAAATTAAACTAGTGGGTACAATCAATCTATTTCATCTAATAATTGCCTACAAATCTCATCTGAACATAGCAATGGGTCTGCTTTCCTGAACACTCTTAGGATATGTCTAGATTATATCCCTCTGTCGCCAGAGGGATGTAAATTAGACATACCAACATTGCAAATGAAGCGGGGATTTAAATCCCCCATGCTTCATTTGAATAAAAATGGTGGCCTCGTTTTGCTGAGTCAGCAGTTTGTCGGCAAACAGCGGCTGTCAAGACGGGGATTGAGCGACAAAGAAAGCCTTTGTCGCTCGATCCTGTAAACCTCCTTGTAGGTTTGCTGTTTGAAGCATTACAAACTCTGGACAGAACAGAGAATTTTGAACATAGAGTGGAATTTCACACAATGAACTAATGAAGACACAAAGTTCAACTTCTTTATCATCACCACTGGTTCAATCCAAACTTTGTGCTATGTTTCCTGGGATGAAAGTAGGAGGAATTAATCTCTTGCTACTCCCAGTCACAACAGCTACATTTGAGAGTTCTTCGTCCTCACTGTATAGAATTTTGTGTTCTGAAAGAAGTTTCCTTCTGCCTGATCATGAGCATATCATGAAGGACTGAAAGCAATGGACACACAAGACGACACCAAAAAGTTATGCAAAACGACAAGCAGCCAAGCCAAGCAGGATGTAAATATAGTGCTGCATAGTAGGCGTGAGTAGCCTACTTTGGTTTCCATGAGGATTTAAAAACAGAATTAAAGCTAATAAAACTGTATTAAACATTGTTTACTTTTTACTATGGTGCCATACTGCCACCTTCACCCTCAATCTCAACCCTCGTCAGCCCTCACCCCCGCTGCTCTATATTTCAAACCCTCCCACATTTTAATTCCTGGGGAGAAACTACCTCTAATTATTTTGACATTATAGATTTTACATAGAAGGGACTCAGATACTATGGTGATGGGCTTGGCATAAAGTCCCAAGATAGAAAGAATGGACAATTGATGTGTGTGGAGAATTATTTAATCTGAATAAAGTGTATAAATCTGCATAGTAAGTCTCTATAAAGATGAGTCCCTCCACTCAGAAGGCAACATTCCTAATGGTGTGGTCTAGATGCGCTAGCCTGTATCAGTGATCACTGAAGTGTCCAAATGTACTGTTCACACAATGGAGGCATTTTCAGAATGAGTCAGGAGACCAGAGTATTCGTGCCCTGTATAATCTTTTAGATAAGAATCAGGAAGTGGCAGCTGCATTTACATAGCCTGAGTCTCATGTGTTCAAAACAGTAAACCTATTGTGGCTCTACGCTCCTGTAACCTGTGACTTAATCATAAATATAAAGGTTTACAACTGGGAGGGGTTAGCTTAATAGTGACCTGCATGAATATATTAATTGATTTACATCTAATAGGATTAGAGAAAAAAAATGGTCCAAACTATAAATACATACACCACCTAACACATTCTGTAAACAAATTTACATTATCCTCTACAGAAAATTAAGTCCTTGTTAAGTTTATTTCCTATAGAAAGTCAACATTTCAACTCTGAAAAGCTTTAGTTTCTGATAATGACTAAGTTTTGCTTTAAAAAAGATTGACCAAGACTCCTACCTATAAGGTAAAGATTTTCACTGAATTGATCAGACGCATACCAACCCCAGTTCATCTGATGAAGTGGGATTTACCCACAAACGCTCATGATATATTTGTTAATCTCTAAGGTGAGACAGGACTTCTCATTGTTACCAACATGTATGTTTACCTTTCTTCTATTCTGTTCTTGTCCATAAGTGGTTGTTTGATCCACTGATTAATCAATCTTTGTCCTTGAGGAGTTTTGCACTTATTTAATAACCCAACCAATGATTGTGTATTGTTGGCATTTTCAACAGATCTCTAGAAAGAAAAAATAGAAATGATTACTGAAAATCGTGGTACACTGTAAACAGTGATGCTCCAGGCTGCCCATTTAGAATTGGGAGAAGCAGAGGATTTTATTTTCAGTCTAATTTGGCACCAATTCAGAAAATCAAATGAAGTAGGGGACATTAAGACGGTTTCACTTAGTAAAAAAAAAAAAAAAAAAAAAAAAACTACAGTCTTCTAGGATGGCACAGAGGAAAAAAAAATTAAATTTGTATTTGCTTTAATATTAATTTCTCTCTAGAACCAAGTTAGACAAGCAGGTCATTAATAGTGGGTTTGGCAAAACCAGACTGAAGCTTGGTACAGCATTTAAGTTTTCTAGCTTGATATTACTGGCACAATGAAATTTAGCATAATGATGGTTTTGAGGGGACTATATATAGGTCTTTTCAGTTTATAGTACACCATATTCAGTCTCTGGTTAAATAACTGCAGAAATGCCATGTGCATCCACACAGCTTTATATTTTTTAATGAGCTATACAAAATTCAGCCAGCAGAAAATTCTCAGGCAAATTCAACCCTCAAAAATAGTTGATACATCTGCTTCAGAGCATGCAAGTCTCAACTTGAGAGGGTGAGATGCAAAGGATCAATACTACAGTATAATGCCTCCATCGAAGCACACCTACAATTAAAATCAAATAGCTTCAAATGAAATCCAATTTCAGCTCTCGTTTCGATATAAGAAAGAGATACATTATATAGTAAGGGACAGAGTTTCCAGAAAAACAACAGAATTAAGCAATGTATAATGTCAGTTTTAAAATGGTGAGAAGTAAGAACCTTATTTTGGCAAACTACAATAGTCACAGTCAACACACTGGAGACCTGTACACTGCTATGAAATATCAAACTGCGTGCAAGCAGATCCAAGACCCAATATTATTTTAAAATAATGAGTCGTGCCAGCTCCAAAATACTTCATCTAACAGTTTACTTTCTTGTTACACTTCCAGACACTGGTACTTTATGTATATGACATATTTACTCTATTTTATGTACAGTGTTTGACTAACAGTAGAACATATATGTGGTTATGTATCTCCTCAAAGTTTCCCAACAAGCTTTATGTTTCTGTACTTGCCTTCTACATTATCATTTGACAGCTCAGGCAATATGTGGAATTACATAACATCAGCTGTGCTATCAGTCAGAAATGTCTTCTCACAGAGATGAATTCAAATTGTAAAGAATTTAAGAACAAGCTTCATAACAGCTGAAACACTAGTAAAGAGAGAAAAGCCTGACATTCAAGCAACAGTGCCATTTGGCACACTCCTTGTTCCCAGGCCAGCAACCATCCCATGGACAGATTAGGACAAGACTAGACAATTATTGATAGGGTGGGGGAATGCAAAATTTTGATAAGTGGTCAAGGGCCACATTTTTATATGGAGAGGATGTGAAATCTGGGACAGAAGGGAGATTGAGATAGGGGTTGGGGTGCAGGAGAGGCTGTGGCATCTGAAAAGGAGTTTGAGTGAAGGAGGGGGTTTTGACCTGGGGCAGAGGTTTGAGGAGCAGGATCCAGGTATGGATGTAGGAGAGGATTTGGCCTGGAGGAGGGTTCAAGGAGGGTGCAGGGTCTGGGAGGGAGCTGTGATCTGGGGGAGGAGGCAGTACAGAGGGTTTGGAGCAGGAGGGGGTGGTAACTCTGGGCAAGGAGTTAGAGTGCAGGGAGGGAGGGTCCAGATGCAAACTGTGGCCGGAAGCCACTTACTTACACAGCTCCTGACCAGCAGCCAAGCGGGACCCTCAGCCCAGCCATTCAAAGCAGCTGGCTGCTCCATGTGCCTCTCTGCATGGCACTTCCAGCCAATGGAAGCTGAAATGGTTGGGCCTAGGCCAGGGCAGCATGCAGACCTCTTCTCCCCGCTCCCCCCAGTTCCAGAAGTAGCCAGCTGTGGCTTTGGCAGGCAGGGAGTCTGATTAAAGGTTCCAGAGGGGTGGGCTGTAGGCCAGATCTTGACCACCTCTGGATTAGGGACTGCCTTGTGCATAAAGCAACAAATGTATGGGTTGTTTATTGAGCAAATCTATTGTCTTTGGAGACATTTTACCTACTTAGACCACACTTAGGCAATGTGAGCTCAAGATATTGTAGGCTGTAACTACACTTGCACTTGCTCGACAAAGCTTTTATTGTTCATGGATGCTTAACCTATTCCTGCTCCCCTTCCCCTGTGAAAAACAAAGCTATGCCATGGTTTTGCCATGGTAAGCACGTGTATGAATGCTGCTTTGTCGGCAGGAACACTCTCCTGCTGACAAAGCCAAACTTGCTCACTGGAGGGAGAAGTATTTTGTTGGCAAAAGTGCTGAAAAACAGCATTGACACATGCATACGTTTAGAGATGGGGCTGTGTTGACAGAATGTTGTTGTTAAAAGCTGCGTAGCATAGACATATCCATAGGGCAGTAACTCCAGCAGAATCAGTTTTGAGCAGCCTGGGTAAAATAAAGATCCCAAGAAAAAGTGATGGACTGTGCCCCTTTGATGCAAGTAAAGCAGTGAAGTCTTCAATTTTGCTCTCTGAGCCACTTTGTTTTCATCCTGTAATTAGTCTTAGGCTTTGTCAACACTAGCAGATGTAAAGTGCTGGCAGTTACGGTGCTGCTTACAGAATGCAGCAGTGAAACTACTGTTGTGTCTCCACATTGTCAGCTGCCAGCACAGTAGCGTGACTGCACTTGCGGCACGTAGTTACAGCAGCAGATTCGGAGCAGTGCACTCTGAGCAGCTATCCCACAGAGGACCTCTTCCTCATTTGTTGCGGAAGCTTATGAAAAGATGGATGGTGAGAGGCAGCAAAGGGAGTTGTGGGACATCCAGAGTCCTGTCCTAATGCCGAGTGGTGCAGATTCACATCCCAGCAACCTCTGTGCTTCCATCTGCATTTGGCACGATCTTTCAGCAGCTTTTGTTCATTCATGGAGGTGCTGACCACAGTGGAACACCACTTTTGGGCTTAAACAAGCACTGAGTGGGGGGGAATCACATCATCATGTAAGTCTGGGACAAGCAGCAGCAGCTGCAGACCTTTTGGATGAGGAAAACCTCTTTCACGGAACTGTGTGTTGAACTCCCCCAGACACACAGTCTGTGTGGAAACTGGCTACAGACAGCTACCAAGTGGTCACCAGTTCGGAGTGGGAAAGTTGACCGTTGGACTCTTGTTGATGGAAATGTGCAGGGCCAATCAATCACATCCTGCTCTCAAAGACCATGACTGAGCAACATGAGTGAAATTGTGGATGGCTTTGCACAGGTGGGCTTTCTTAACTGCAGTGAGGCACATTCTAATTCCGGCACAAGACCACTGAGCCTCTGAGTACCTGAGCCAGAAGAGTTATTTCTCCATGGTTCTTCTGGCGCTTGTGGATCACTATGGCCGTTTCATGGACATTATCGCAGCCTAGCCAAAAAGGCCCATGACGCACACATCTTTTGGAACACTGGCCTTTTCAGGAAGCTGCAAGCAGGGACTTTCTTCATGGACCAGGAGATCACTGTAGGGCAGGAGTGGGCAATACACAGTCCACCTGCCAGATCTGGCCTGCCCAAGCCGCTGGATCCAGTCTACAGGCCTCCCCACCAGGACTCTCAAGCATAGAGCAGCCAGCCTCTTTAGAGCAATCCCACGCCAATTTAAGCAGCTGGCTGCTCCTTGTGGCTCTCTGCTCCGGGCACTGAGGGGAAGGAAGCTTCACAGAAACTGACCCATGGGAGCTGAGAGATTTTGCCAGGGGCAAGGGTAATGCACAAAGCCTCCTTCTTCCCCCCCCCCTCAGCCCCCACCCCAGCACAGGGACAGAGAATCACAGGGAGCAGCCGGTAATTTTGAGCAGCCTAGGGCTGCAGCAGGCATGGAGTCTACTAGGTAAGTGCCTCCTGGCCACAGCCTGCCTCTGGCATTCCAGGCCATATCTCCCCTCCAAAGCCCTAGCCCAGGTCACCTTCCAAACCCTCTGCACTATCGTCCCCTCCTCCCCCTCCCAGACTCTGCACCCCCTCCTGAACCTCCTCTCAGGCCAGAATCCTGTCAGGACCCATATTTGTTCCTGGAGCCTACACCCCAAGCCCCCACCCTAGATCACAAACCCCTCCTTCACACAAGTTCCCTGTCAGTCTCACACCCTCTCCTATACCCCAGTCCCCTACCCCAAGCTCCCTTCTGCATCCAACCTCCATCCCTGATACTACACCCACTCCACAGAAAAGTGTGGCCCTTGACCACTTGCCAAAATCATGGAGTAGCCCCCTCACCAACAATTACTGCCCACCTCTGCTGTAAGGGAATTAGAAATACTCAATGTTATCCTGGAAGACCCTGCCTATCCCTAGTTAAAACCATGGCTCATGAAGCCATACACTGGGCACCTTGACAGCAACAAGGAGTAGTTCAGCAACAGGCTGGGCAGGTACAGAATGACTGTAGAGTGTGCTTTTAGCACTTTAAAAGACCATTGGTGATGTTTGAATGGGAAGCTGGACCCGGCCAATGGCAACATCCCTGTGCTTATAGCCGTCTGCTCCACCCTCCATATTTGAGAAGGGAAAGGTGAAAGCTTCATACAGGGCTGGACCACTGAGGCGCGGTGCCTGGAGGTTGAGTTTGAACAGCCGGAGCTCAGGGCTATAAGAGGAGCGCAGTGCAGGATCGTAAGGATCAGGGATGTCTTGAAGCAGCAATTTGATGCTGAAAGCCAGTAATATTTGTTGCCAGGCCCAAGACTGCAGTAAGTTACTGTGATTGGTCCATACAATGTACTTAGTGGAAAAGTGTCTGTTGCTTTGTTGGGCCCTGCTTGCTTATTTTCATGTAATGGAACTAAGATAGCAAACGCAGACCCCACGTGCAGCGTGACACATCTGCACTTTGTGAGCGGGAAGGGAGGAGGTGAGGCCCCAGCATGTTTGCAGATTTGTGTATGTTCAGATATCGTATGTAACCCGACCATCTGATGTGCTGTGCAGTGGGAGCTAAACTGAATGGGGATGAGGACTGAGTGCATTGGGTGCCTGCGAGAAGCTGCAGGGCTGGATGGCCAAAGGGCAGGTGTGGAATGTAGCAGGTGCCAACTGGGAACAGGATGGGGATCAAAATGTGTTGGTGGTGAGAGGGGACACATGGAAAACAGTTTTGGGACACCGGTGGGGGTAGCACAGCAGAAGATCACAGAGGGTACTTCTAGACTGCCCTCTAAAATCAAAATAAGATACGCAATTTGCACTATGCGAATCGCGTATCTTATTTCAATTTTATTTCGATATAGGCGATTTCAAAATTTGGTGCAACTACATGGTGCCAAATTTCCAAATAAAGCACTACTTCGAGACATCCCTTATTCCTTGTAGAACGAAGTTTACAGGGCTTTGTACCTAGCCCTGCAGTTTAGACGTACCCAGAGTTTCCCCGCCAGCAGTACTAGCAGCACCTGGAGCATGTCAGTTTAGCACTCTGTAATGTTTAAGAGACGCTCCACAGTTTCTTTCCAGCATAAAACTTTTGCCTTCCATTTCACTATAGAATACAATCAGCATCCCGCTAACATCACACAAGTCCTCTTTACTTTTCTGAGGCTGCTTTCTTGCCCGGTGCAGCCATTCGGCTGGTGATAAAGGCTGGGATCCCAACGTTAAATCTATGAAGCCAAAAGCGCTACATTTTACAGAGGGAATATTGTTAACACTAGATAGAGCAGCCTGGTATCCACCACACCCTTCCCCAGGCGTGGCATAAGTTGGAGGTAGGGAGGATAAGGCCCCAGCTGAAAGTAGGGGATTGTCAGGTTTGTGAAATAGCGCATCTTTCCATGTGCCCGTGCCTAACAACACTCCACACGTCACCAAGCAAACAGGAATGGGACTGTCAAAATTCCCAAGGAATGCAAAGAGCAGGGCTGTGGAGTGTTCCCCTGAAGGCTGGGCAGTAGAGTTCAAAGAGGCAAAAAACAGGCTTTTTGGAACAGGTACTAGAGGCCACTCACAGCGCTGGAGTACACCATAGTGTCCACACTGACATCCCAGAACTGTAGCCCGTCGCTCGTTGAGGTGGTTTCACTAGAGCACAGTAACTGTGGAGTTAGGGTACACTTAGTGCCTTGCCAGTGTGGACACCTCAGCTGGGAGCTGATTTACTGAACTATGACTTGACAGTTTAGACAAGGTCTCAGAAATAGCTAAGTTGTATTTAAAACATGTTTTTAACCTGAAAGAGTCATATCAAAGATTTTTGTTTAGTGTATCTGGGTGATTCTTGGATCAAATCTGCTTGGTTTACAAGGACAGAGGCAGCTCCTCTGACCCTCTGCCAATTCTATGATTCTGAATGACAAGCTGGGATCTTTGGGAGTTTAGTTAACACCAGCTATGAGGCAAAAGACAATAGACTCCATCTTACTCTCTGAAGGCTATGTTGCTCTGCAATGCTAACAGGAATAAGAAATAGCAAGTAAACCTGGCTGGAATTCAGGGTCTTCAGTTAGGAAGAAATTGTGTTTCAGAATTTGCTTTTGTTACCAATTGGAATTTCTAGACAAACCAGAGATTCCAAAATAAAATTTTTGTAATGACCAGAATATGTTATGTCCCTGAAACAAAATGTGAAGTTGGCATGGTCATTCACTGAATCCTAGATACAAAAGTGACAAGGATGTAAATTTCATATACTCCACTGCAATAAGCCCTGAAGCTTTTGAGGCTGATGGGCCCCCTGCTTGAGCCAAAGTGCTCAGGTCATCTTGAGTACCTGCCACTGAGCTGTGAGCCTGGTGGTCATGCAACCAACTCCCAGGGTCTGCTCTATAGAGGCAGCCCCAACATGCAGA